AGTATTAGGTGGTGTCACTCTATTTTGTGTACATACCAATGGGTACTGTATCTACCCAGTATGAGGTGGTGTCACTCTATTTCGTATACATACCAATGGGTATTGTATCTGCCCAGTGTGAGGTGGTGTCACACTATTTTGTGTACATACCAATGGGTACTGTGTCAGTAGGCAGTGCCAGCCCCAAATCAGTTGTTCAATGGTTTCATCAGAAACAGACAGCATGTGGCCTTGAGCATTTACCAGGTGCATGAGATTGGATCGATGACGCCAGTTGAAATTGTGTTCCTGCTCCGTAGGTTTATGTACTAAATAACAGAAAAGAATTTAATATCTGCAACGTTCTGTTAAATCAAATAATGTCACAATTACAAAATTAAATGTCATGTTCAATTCTGAACATGTTCACATCTCATTCAATACAGGTTCACATCTCATTCTATACAGGTTCACATCTCATTCTATACAGGTTCACATTTCATTCTACACAGGTTCACATCTCATTCTATACAGGTTCACATATCATTCTATACAGGTTCACATCTCATTCTATACAGGTTCACATCTCATTCTAAACAGGTTCACATCTCATTCTATACAGGTTCACATCTCATTCTATACAGGTTCATATCTCATTCTATACAGGTTCACATCTCATTCTACACATGTCAACATTTCATTCTTTCCAGCTGCAGAACAGATTGAGGTGTTTATGCCACATATCTCGTTCTACATTTATTATACATTTACATGTTATTCCATATACATTTATTATACATTTACATGTTATTCCGTATNTATACATTTATTATACATTTACATGTTATTCCGTATACATTTATTATACATTTACATGTTATTATGTATACATTTATTATACATTTACATGGTATTCCGTATACATTTAATATACATTTACATGTTATTCCGTATACATTTATTATACATTTACATGTTATTCCGTATACATTCATGTTTCCCTTTTTCACTTTGTATGCTTTCAGGGACTCACAGTTTTAGTACAGTAATATTTAGAAGAAGGAAAATGAAAATAAAGGTAGATTTTTGAGGAGTGTTTCAAATCTCTGTACAAACCATTGATCAGACATATTGGATGGTAGAGTTCTGGTTGCCTTAACAGCCTTGGGGTGGGGCACATCACAGCCTCCCACGTCAGTCCTTTAGGCAACATCACACCTGCAGTTCCTGTCAAAAACATAGGTAAATTGTTTGTCAGGTAATTAATTTCTTATCAAGTAGAGATGTCACAAAGGGTATTCTGCTATATAATGGGGATAAGGTAT